ATCTGGAATCTGAGGGTGCAAAAAAAATCTAAATATTGAGAAAATCACCTTTAAAGTTGTCCAAATTAAGTCCTTAATGCATATTACTAATCAAAAATTTAGTTTTGATATATTTACGGTAGGAAATTTACAAAATATCTTCATGGAACATGATCTTTACTTAATATCCTAATGATTTTTGGCATAAAAGAAAAATCTATAATTTTGACATATACAATGTATTTTTGGCTATTGCTACAAATATACCCCCAAAGACTTAAGACTGGTTTTGTGGTCCAGGGTCACAAATGGTTGACCTCAAGACACTTGGAAAATTATGAGCTATATCACTGCTTATTGACACTAGGGGTGTGACAATACACTTAGCTCACGAGATGAGACAAAATGCAGATACTTGGTTCACTAGAAAGTGACAATATCTTAATACTATTTTTAAGAAATTTTCAATGACAAAACATTTGTCTTTTAATTACAAAAAGTAAAACAATGCAGTTGTATTTAGAAATATTTTAACTAATCTAGGGCTGTAACTACTGATTATTTCGGTAATCAAGTAATCTACTGATCATTTTGACAACTGAGTAATCTGATATTTTTAGTAACAAACAGACCTAAGTGAAAACCAGGCTTTAGTATGACTATTTATATATAAACTACCGATGAGGCAATAATAATTGGCTCAAATAAAATATCAAAACCAAGAAATTACATGATTGTATTGAACAACACTGTTAAAATACATAATGTAATATGCCTATACATAATATGAACATAACCAACTCAAGTACATTATGAATTAAAACAAATATCTGCAGAGGGTGCCAACGGCCTGGTGACGTTTCACTTTACAGCGTTATTAAACAATGTATAAATCCATTCAATTTTTAAATTTGGCCACATGCAGAAACATAGATTGATGTATTCTCCTGTGTTGGCAAAGGTTTATAAATGATTTACATTACAAATCTAGTGATATAATGCATACTGTTTTCTCAGATGAACGTTAAGCAATTCAAATTCACGGCATATGCAGAGAAAGAGTTTAGCCCCTTTCACACATACAGTACTGGTAAATTACCGGTACCTTTTCAAAAATCTTGGTAAATTTGTTCTAGCAATCATATCGTTTTATGGAGATGACATGATTACTCCCGAGCAGTTTACAAAGCTCCGCTGCTTTTTAATTAGTTATTCTATGTAAATATGCGCTAGAAGGACATCTTTGAACATTATGCCTAGCAGCTTTTTCAAAGTATCACGCTTCTCCATTCATCAGGGCTGCGACTCCGCAATTGGATACTATTATGTGCGTCTAGTGTTTATAAGAGCAAAACATTCTGATTGGCTAGTAATGTTAGTTTGGTTGAGAGTGAAAGCTGTGCTCCTCTCATACCATTGGTAGAAGAACTCATGGACTCGAAAGTGATATCAATCAACAAGATTTTTTTTTTTAAATGTAGGACTATTTTTTTCCGCAGCCAAACACTGCACGCCAGAGATCCGGCATGGTGACGGAGAACTTTAAGCCCTGATTCAGTCTGATTGAACCAAAAATTGTGCATGTAAGCATAGCCAGTGTCGCCGACTTCATCTCTTTAACCGAAACAAAGAAAGCACTTGTTTATCAGAGAATTATTCAAATGTTAATGCAGCCTCCTTACTGTTTTTCCCTGACACATTCATAACCATTACTTCTGGCGGTGTGCTGTGGCTAGCTTTATGCATGTGCTTGAGCGCTTATTAGGCTATGTACGCAATTAAAGGCTCATTATAATGATTTAAATGGTTTATTAATAAACGAGCGATTAGTCGACTAAGGCCTAATGAACGACTACTAGTCGACCAGAAAAATCCTTAGTCAAGGGCAGCCCTACTTTTTGGTTTGTTTCTGTTACTTTCATTGTAAGTGCGTTACTGTAACCATGGTGTTTGCTTCTGAAGGATGAGTCAGTATCACCTGTGAAGAGAGCACAACATGGTTCTCCCACAGTGGGGGTGAAGGAAGCTCTCTCCGATTCACAGTGCTTCATGAGCTCATAGGACAGCTCTGTCAGGATATGTGCATCTGCCAGACACAATTAAATAATTACAAACACATACGTAATGAGTCCCATAAAGCAGAAAAAAATAATACTGAAAGCACCTGCTTTGCTGTAGTTGTAACAGTAGAATTCATCAAGGCTCTTCAGACTACTGATTACCAGCTCCACCTTTTGGCCATCAAAGGGAAGTTCAGCACAAGTCCACTCCATTTTCTCAACAACAGGTGGACTGAGGGCTAGAGCAAAATTCAAAAATATATAAATCAATTATCCTTTAAAAGAATGATCAGAAATGGCTAAAAATAAAGTTATTACAACTATTCTTCACTTACGGGGCATTTCAGGGAAGGAGGCTTGAGTCGGTTCATGCTTCTCTGTCTCCACACTTTCAATGGCAGCATAACCCATGTTAACCAACACCTCAGCGGCATTGGTCTGAGGGTCACTTGACTCATCAATCATGGACACCAGAGCCCTACCATCCTTCTTACCCAGAATCTCAACCCGAATGAAGCGGTTGCAAACTAGACTTTTCACCATCAAAATGGTCTCCTCTGACCAGGTGCCTGTTGGACACTTTATACCTAGAGCAATATGAATGTTAAAGGGTTAAGGTGAGTAATTATTGACAGAACTTTCATTTTTGGGTGAATTACCCCTGTAATGCATCAAGAAACAAACCTTTGGCTCAGCATATACAGATTTGCATGCATGCACACAATTACAAATCGGTCAATGAATCATTGTACTGTACCTGCTAGAGAACAAGGGATTGCTTGAGTTGCCAAAGCCAGCAACTCTTTGCTGATTGGTCGTAGGCGATTTAACTCAACCTCCTCAGAGTTACCAAAGTCTATGTATCCAACACACACAAGATCTTCAGAGGAATATGCCAGAACTTTAGCTCTATACCATTGATTGTCTTCTGTAATACATGGAGATCAGTTCAGAAGACATCAAATTTATGTTTTTTTTCTTTTATTCAACTGCACCCAATCCCTTTCACTGTACGAGAAGGAACACTATGGACATTTGTACATGAATCAAAAAGAAAAGGATAAAAAAATATGAAAAGAAAAACTGTCTGAAGACACTGGTCTGACCAGAGAAGAGCGAGCAGCAGACAGTTCCTGGTGCAGGTCTGAAGTTCTCACTGGCCGGAGTGTTTGAGCAGTGCTCCCTTAAATTCACCTGCAGCTGCTGGATTACACCTAAATACATGAAGACTGCATCATACACTGAACCTACTGAAAGTACAGCAAGCATATATTTTATAAAAAGGCAGAAAACGACAACAGATGCTGCTAAAATATTGCAACTAGGGATGCGCCGATCCGATATTCATATCGGGTATCGGCTCCGATAGTGCCATTTTTCTCGG